ACATCCACAAATGGTTAGATATTGTAGTCTTCTTGGATAAGGATGATAAACCATAGGCCTCATCTCCTGCTTCCTCTATGTACTGGTTAGCAGGAAACTTAGCTCCCACTGTTGTGGTTTGGCTTTGCTATTGTTTGCACTGGCCTCCATTTAAACCAGCTTTAAGCTGATCTGGTCCAGCCTTTAGGCTTACATAGGTTACATAGGTTAATTGACCACTCCCCATAGGGGCTTTTCAAGGCCAACATCCACCCATCCCCACCCCAGGGGAGGACATCCACCACACAGTAGTCTCGTGTGTGGGAAATTAACGTCTCCTACCCCTAACCCTGCAGGAGACAGGGCCTGCAGTTTATTTGTCCTTATCTTAGAAGACTAGAATATCTATCCATTTCTTGTTATAGAAAGGTTGCAAATTCTCCTCAGTTATTTTAAGACCATGAGTATTTGTCCGGCCGAGGCTCGAACCCTCGACCTCCCACACAACACAATCTGGTGCTCTGACCAATTGAGCTATATTCTACATGCTAAATATGGGGTTTATTCTTGAAAAATAAGGTTACTATTGAAGAAAAAATGTGTTCATTATGAGACTAATGTAGTCCAGTTTCTCAGAAGTAATCTTAATTAATTTTCTCTTTCTTTTATTTGTGTGGAGGGACCATATGTTTGCTGGCAGTTTTTCTTTCAATATTCTTTATTGCCTGGGTACACAGTGTTCCACACAGCTGTGTAGAAGTTGGAAAAAGCGAAAGAAGGGGACCAAGTGAGTCTGCACTAGGTGAGTGCATGTACATGTAACATCACAGGTTCTGCCTCAATTTGGTTTATTTTTAAAAATGGTAATTAGAGATAAAACTTTTTGTCATGTTCATTAGGGGACTCTTGAAATCCATCTCCTCAGAGTTTTAACCGTCAAATTACTCTAAAATTTTCCAAGCGTTGGCAGGGTGACAGATGAAAAAGCTAGTATCAGGAACATATTTTGGCACACACAAGTAATGAAGGAAAAATGTGAGCAATTTTAATTTTGCTGAAACAAATATCTATTGCACACCAATTAGGACTGAGAAGTGTCCCAGAGAATATACAACATGGTATACTTTGCTTGTCAAATGAGCAGCCAATTATTGTGGTTAAGACAGTTTACTGCAACTATCAGTAGACTTGTATGGAACGTATCTGTAAATTTGTAATATCTGGCACAAAATAGTTCTAAAAAGATAATTTAAAAAAATCATGAAAATTTTAACTTTTTTTTCACAATGATAGAGGATTATTAGCATCTTAGATTATTTATGCTGATTAAATATAGTGAAGCAATTAAGACCCTCATGTGATTGCTGATTGAGATGAATCTTAGATTAAATAATTGTAGAATTTCTGACTGTTTCTGCTTTACTCTCAACTCGTAAAGAAATGTATAAACTGAAATATATCTGACTAGATCTTTGCTATCCTAGCACTTTTTGATCATCTAAACTCCAAAAATAGATCAAGTGTGTAGATAAACTTTGAAGCAATAAGGAAAGAAATGATCAAACATAGAACAATGGTGAAAAAAGAGGAGCTATTAATTATTTATACATGTATTCATGGCTTATGGGTTATTTAAATTGGCACTGATTGGGATCAAACATCAAAAAGTTTTGTACATCTCTCCCATTTTTTCCACACAACACTCTATACCCACTCTTTTATGAAGCCAAGAGGAGGCAAAATATGCTGTCTTATACTAAGCACTATATAAAATTTTTTAACATTTGAGTCCCACTTGTGGTTATTATTTGATGAATGTGTTCATATATTTTTTTTTTTGTTTGTTTCTTTCATATTCATCAGATTCATGTACAGCTGCATATAATTCAACAGAAGAAGCCCAGAGAACCATAAAAGAAGTTCCAACAGTAACTGT